AATGGGTTGAATTACTTTACACACGAGCTAAGTAGATACAAAGTTTCATACACACACACACACACATATATATATATATATATATATATATATATACCAAACATGACTCCCACCAAATATATATGTATGACTCCCATACCATATATATATAAACATCCCCATACCAAACACATCCATAATCAACATACGGATACTACCAGACATAATGAAAAGGGTCTACTAGACGCACAAATATTCTCACCCAGCTTTCAACTAGGGACATTATAAACAAGCATGCAAACTCGCCAACATCCTACTATCTGATTCAGGAATTATACATACGGGCGTTATCGGACGGACACGACAGGACTGATAGAGAGATGCGCAGTAGAATCCAAACATACACAGGCGCGCGCAGACATGCGCACATTAACACCAAAAGACAAAAACATGTGAGGCCTACCTGACAAATGAAAAACAACACGACACATACCTAAAACTAACGGAAATTTCTCTTCCATAAAACATTTCCCCCAAATTTTTAAAGAAGCTTAAATAAAAGCGAAACATGTTAAATTTATTTTTCCGATTTGTTCCTTAGCCTATCATTCTCTCAGATTCTAATACTTATTTGATCTCTTTTACAATTGTGGACAGAATTTTCCCCCACCCCGCATCCATTATTGCAAATAAAGATGTAATGTCTCAAATTTTCAGAGAAATTTCATGTGCATTTTTTTTTTTTTACAAATGATAAAATAATGGAGTTAAAAGAATATGTAGTGATGCCCGCAATATTTTTTAAAAAATTTAATGTCAAACAATAATAGGGGAAAAAACCCAAATCATTTAACAAAAGACAAAATTATGGGGCCCCTTGCCTAAAAAAAAAAAAAATCACAGTTATCAATTACATTAATTTTTGTCTTAGGAATTCACCCATGAAGATGATATTAGATGAGATTGAAAGTACTTGGGAAAAATAAAAGAAATGAAAATAACTACGGCTTCTTCCTTAATGAGTTTAATAACAACACCAAGAAATTGATCCGTGAATTTGAGAGGATTAAAATTAAAATAAACATATATCCTGATTATTCAACCACACACATAAGCGAATTCTTATCACCATATTTGTACAAGAACGCACAATTGTAAAATTTAAAATCAAACTCAGCGTTGCTACTGCACGCTCCAAAAACAATAACTCATTTCTAATAGCATTTTTCGGATACAACAATACATATATTTTCGTTGTCCTCTTATTACTGAGAGAAAAAACAAGAACAACATCTATTCCATACCTGAAGATGTCTGTAGGAACAGACGAAAGCTTGTAGTAAAAATAAGAACTAATGCAACAGAAATTTATAAAAACAAGGATCTTTTCATTCATAACAGGTTCAGGGTTTTTGTATATTATTTGAATTGTTCGCGACGATGGATTTCTCGCCAATTAAATCATTAACCTTTGTATTTGTTTTTGTATGAATAATTCATGAATTTGTAAATTAATTGCACCTTTATTGAAATTAATATATATATATATATATATATATATATATATATATATATATATATATATATATATATAAATAAATAAATAAAAAAAAAGCATCTACTCAAATATGAATATTCATTAAAAATAACGTTTTAAGCCATAAATTAAAATATTTCGGATTAATAAATGAAAAATACATTTATATAATATATATATATATATATATATATATATATATATATATATATATATATATATATATTCATCAACAGACAGACTGTTTTATATGATGTTTTCTATTTTCACTATATCACAGCTCTTTAAGGTGGCTAGACGTCCGATTGCTTCAAGCCGGGATCGTAACACGACCGATTTGACATCAATCAATGATCCTACCCCTAGACTATCATCTAGAGGAAGGGAAATTCTAACGTTTTTCTACGTGAAATACGCCGGTAGTCTGGAGAACTCAATTCGTACCTGAAGAGTAATACATTAATAACAGGAGAAGACGCTGTTTTTAAAACCACCTTTGTCTCGAGAGCTTTACCGGATTTCCTGGGAACATATATTTTCATCCACAGACAGACCGCTTCGCATATATATATATATATATATATATATATATATATATATATATAAATATTTCTCTTATTTTCCAGTTTAACCAGAATACAATATTTATGAATAAAAATGACAATAAGAAAACTGGTAATTTTTCGTATTTTGCTTTGATAAAGTCCACATTGGACGAAACGCGTCAGCAATTACCAGTTTTCCTATTGTCATTTTTATTCATAAATATATATATATATTTTAAGACATTTTTAGGTTTATACATTCTTTTATACATACAAATATTTAAGTAAATGCTCTGTTTATAATAAACAATATTAAACAACATTTACCGGCCTGAATATCCGAGAAATTTTCACAGAAAATATTCGTCCACCGACAGGAATCGAACCTGTATCCTATACGGAACCGTCATTTAGCTTGACGGGCCTTTACCGATTTGGCCACAGAGGAGCGTTCGGTTAGCAAGGTCGAATTTACTGTATTTGAACTTCAATCTTCCATGAATCTCTCACGTACATTCATATCTGTCGGAGGACGAATATTTTCTGTGAAAATTTCTCGGACATTCAAGAGAGACATGACTGAATTCACTCCACGAAAAATTTGGAAACAGCATGTTGTACTGCTTGGCATTTGAGCTGGAAACTCCAATACGAACGTTTCAGATTGTTTGAGCGTCAATCTGAAGATAGTACAGAGGATATGGAAAGAGCTGGATGAGCCCAATGGTGATTACGAAGGTGTTTGGATTGATCAATACTGATAGCAACGTTATGCCTCCATTCATCTTCCCACAGAGCCTCAACACTGAGGCCTAAATGAAGTCCCTTGAGGATGTAGTGCTGCCATGAGTCAAGACCCTAAGTCTGGCTACAGAACTCTACACCATGCCACACAAGTAGGAGAACCCAGTCATGGGTGTCAGAGACCACATCACCGCTTACATCTGGCCCCCTAACTCCCCAGACTGCAACCCCCTTGATTATTATGTGTGAGCGCAGTTGAGCGAGAGAGCAACAAAACTCCTTGTAACACCAAAGATGAAATGAAGCCAAGGATTATGTCAACAAGGAAACAAGGAGACCGTCCGGAAGAGTTGCAGGAGATTTCGGTGGTTGTAAATTTCGGAGTAAATTTATCCAGTAAAATCGGAATTGGCTTCAACGCCAATTCCAATTTAGTCTTTCAGTAAATTTTCTCTATTTCATGATATTTTTGTTTAATTTTGTTAAGTATATCTGTTAAAACGTGATCTCGACATTATTTTCATTTTTGCGTAATTTAAACGACAATTCATCCATCACAGCATCCTCCCTCTCTCTCTCTCTCTCTCTCTCTCTCTCTCGCAATGGCGGACAGCCTTAAGTATCTATCTATCTATATATATATATATATATGTGTGTGTGTGTGTGTGTGTGTGTGTGTGTGTGTGTGTGTATATATATATATATATATATATATATATAACTTTATACTGGTACAAATTAACACCTTACACCCCTGTTTATTTAAACAATCGCTCTAGCCGTTACCATAGACATTTTAATTTCAATAATGAATATGCTATTAAAACACGTAAATTTCAGAAATAAGTTATTTCAAAAAAAATTTCGCTTGAAGATGGAACAGAGCTTACTTTAATTCAATTTAATTCAAATAATTATATTGAAGTTTTCGGCTCTTGTTTTGAAACATGAGAACTCTTATGTAGCGTGTTGGAATCATATTTTTAAATAAATAATTATATTTATGCTCTACTTTTGTATCGAGCACTATTTTTAAAAATAATAACAAAAATACTAAAGAACGTTAAATTATTTACCTAACGAGTTCTTTCCTATTTTCTATATATTTTTCACACACACACACACACACACACACACACATATATATATTTTTTAATTAAATAAAGCAAGAGATGTACTGTAACAGTGAGAATCTCTTTTAGTTCCCATCTCTTTCTGAGATAATTATCAGGGGTGCAGTTGGTATGCCAAAACCAAGAAAAGAAAGACATGAAAAAGATGTTAGTGTTTCTTGTTTTATTTAATTGTAACATACGGAAACATATTCGTGGATATAAAAGGATTTTGATAAAAATAAGCAGACCTAGTGTTTGTATTTTATTCAGTCGGACATGCTTAAAAGAGAATTTGCTGCCTAAATACACACGCACACACACACACACACACACACATTATATATATATATATATATATATATATATATAAACTTACGGCTGTCCGCCATCGCTGACAACGACGCTGTACTTCCATCTCCGTCCGTCCTTTGTGGGCTGCTAAGTGAGATACCAGCCCGATCCGTGAGCGAGAATTTCTCGAGCATAGGTAGCAGGGAATCATGCCCGGTGCTGGATTGGCAAGTTGCAGATAATGATGGCGTCCCTTCCCTTATATATATATTGGATAGGATAAAGAACAAATAGTGAACGTTTCAATTTTATTAAAGCTTCATCAGAGAATGAGATATAGAGGAAAAATGTCTGGTAGTTTTATATTTGTCTTTTTTTGATTTTCATTGGTTGAGCAGGCTTCGCGGTCTCATTTGTTGAGCAGCATTCGTGCGTATAATTTGCGGCGTTCTGAACTCATGGACCTCAAATAAATAACAGATTCTAAGCTTAAGTTAACGGTAAAAACTAAATGTTGCTTTATGTAGGTAAGTGTATCATAATTCTATTTCTATATAACTATCTCTATATGTGTGTGCATGTGTGTGGGGGGGTTGTCTGAGAATTAAAGATAATTTTGAAATCTAAACTTGTTATTCAATTTAGAAACAAGAAACTCGTAATTATAAATAAAATATTTATAACCTAACAAGCTGTCTTTATGCCTTAATATTACTTAACGGTTAAGATTTAAAGAGAAAGAAACAATTATATATATATATATATATATATATATATATATATATATACAGAGAGAGAGAGAGAGAGAGAGAGAGAGAGAGGAGAGAAGAACTGAAGAAACTGATATAGACTAAACAAATGATCAGTGTTACGCCTAAAAATCTGGCCATTTTAAATTAAGCTTATTGAACAAGATATTACTTATTTAATTAAGTCGACGTTCACTTGTATAGGAGTTTTTAATCGGTTAAAGCAAATTATTTCAGGCAAAACATGGAATCTAATATGATATAAGACAAGCAATTGCATTCCCTATGCGTCGACCAGCTCCACGGTGCCATATTTTACAAGTGTCGATCAAAAAGTAATGGCTGTGCTTCGGTAAATACACTATGTTTAATAGTCGGGTCACACAAAGTATACCAAATAAACACAAAATAAACACAACCAAATAAACAGAAAAAATGAACACAAAGAATACCAAATAAACAGAAAAAATGAACACAAAGAATACCAAATAAACAAAAAAAAATAAGCACAAAATTTACCAAATAAACAAAGTATAGGAAATAAAGACAAAAAATAAACACAATGTATGCTAAATAAATACAAAAAATGAACACAAAGTGTACCAAATAAACACAAAAATAAACACAAAATATACCAAATAAGCACAAAAAATGAACACAACGTACACCAAATAAACACAAAAATTAACATAAAGTATACCAAATAAACACAAAGTACACAAAATAAACACAAAGTATACCAAATAAACAGAAAAAATAAACACAAAGAATACCAAATAAACACAAAAAATAAACACAAAGTACACCAAATAAACAGAAAAATCTGGGGATTAAAAATCTAGTTAACATTTTTCTTCCTTCTCAATCGCGATACGAAAGTCGTTATAATGTAATGTTTCTTCTTTAATTGCAACAGATTTAATAGTGGAAGCAAACAATTCATAACAAAATGAAGAGAATTTGTTCAAAATTCTAAATCTAGCCCTCATCATAGTCTCCTTCTTTCTTAAACATGTAATAAAGTAGTAATGTCTGTTCGTCTTTAATTACGACAGATTTAATAGTGTAAGCAAACAAAACACACCAAAATGAAGAGAAATGTCTCATGATTGCAAATTTAGTCCTCACCGTAGACTCCTTTCTTCTCAAATGTTCTATTCGGCTCTTGAATCGGAACATTTATACTCGCCTCCCATAAATTTCTTAGCAGCTCTCTAAGCCATGTGAGAGTTGCTATTTCCACCTCAGCATCCTCAGAGAACCACTGTCCTCTACGTCAGTCTATGGGCCCAAACAGATGAAACTCTGAATATACCAGGTTACGACTCCAGAAAATAAGCCGCAGTAAACACACTTTCCTCATTTGTGGCTTGTGTAAGCATTCTGAAAAATCATTTTGCACAGATATTTGGACAGACAGATGACTCTAACATGTCTCACCTAAAGGCTTTAGTAGAGTTTTGCAACGTCAATTTTTCTGTCAGTTGTTCGGTGAGCATCAATCTATTTGGCGTTCTTCTTATTTACAACAGCAGCTGGTCTGCCACTGGGGACCCCTTCATTCAGATCACTTTCTTCTTTCTCTTTAGAATTGTCATTAACTCCACTGACCTATCTCCTTTCTGTGATTACCGAAAGTGCAGCCTTTCTGTATTCATTCACTAACATCTTATTAATGCTTCCAGCAATTTTTTTTTTTTTTTTGCGAAATCAGTAATCATATAAAAATTCTTTGTATTCTATATGTATAAAGAGTGGTGGCCATTTTTAAAGGGGATTATGGGTAGGAAAAGAGAAAGCATGTCTAAATTTTCAATTGTTCTTGTAGATGCTTTATATTTTATAACTAATATATATAAAATAATGAAAAAATAATGAAGAAGTGTCGTGCATATGACACGAATGAAGGACAGTAGACAACCAAGAAATGTTTTCCAGAGAGCTCGTGTCTTGTAAGCAATTACCTAAAAACCGAAAAAAAGAGATCAATAAAATGGTAGCATAAAACATCACAAGTGGTGGACTTCACAGGGTGTCAGTTTGCCTGATGGCAAGTGGGTTACTGATGGAGTGACCTCACTATCTCTCTCTCTCTCTCTATATATATATATATATATATATATATATATATATATAATTATTTTTTATAAAAAAATTTATAACATAAGTATGTTATAAAATCACTACAAAATAGCCATTTTGTTTCAACACACTCTGTGTCTTATCAAGTGATGATGTTGAAAAGAAAAATAAATGGTTTTAAAAGTTTCAGATTAATTAACGATCCTACACTAGGGGAAAAAACATTGTTACAAAAGCTAGAATAACCAATCAAAACGAAGTATAGAAAGATTCAAAAAGCTTGACAACGAAATCATGCTATAATGGCTTTTCAGATCTTTAAATACGTAATATTAAAATAATTTATACTAACTAATAATTATAAAATTATACGATAAAATTTAATATTAAAATTAAAACTGGCAATTTTAAAATTTAAATTTAATCACTATTAAGTTTAAAAACTACAAAATTATTGAGAAAAGAAAAAATATATATGTTTATTCAATTCATTTCTTCATTGAAATTACGTTAGACAAGACGCTACAATACATCCGGTCATTTGACAATACATGTATATATATTTTTTTCTTTTCCTTTTCTTTTCCGTTTTTATTTTAAAGTTTGTGAATGTGGTCTTAAACTTCACGCGTAAAACAACAAAAACACAATCAGATTATAATACATAAGCACCCAGATATAATTAGATATACACCCACACACACACACACACACACACACACACACACAAACACACATACACACACACTAAAAAAAAAAAAAAAAGGGAAGGTGGGGGGGAATACATGAACATCTCTACAACCCTTTATGAAAAAAGGAGACGTGGAAACTAACACTTATACACACACACAGTTAAATGTGAATACACTCTACATACACATAGACAGCGATAGATACACATACATACATCCACAGACAATGATATAGACAATGAGAAATGACAACCAATAAATAAGTCAGACTTAAATAAATGCTAACCACTTATTGAATTATAACTTAAGGGAGCAAAGAAAGATAAAAATGGTTAAAAATAATATTATTTAATATATTAAAATGAAAATTCTAAAACCATAAATATCAATAAAAATATATATTAATCATATAAGTTGATAATAGTTTCATTATATATTAGGCAAAGAAAAACAGGATAAAGAAACCCACAAATATATAGATATATATATATATATACACGGCAGCAAAAACAAATTAACACACATAAATATACACTCATACATACATATACATACAGAAATACATACAAATAAATATATAAACATAAACATATACGCACATATACATATCTATGATAACAAGTACACATGCACGCACATATACATATAAACCTAAATACACACACATATATACACACAGACTTTTGTGCACACATACTTACATATATAAAACCAGTCATGATATACCAAAGTTTCCATACCCACACATACACACAAACAAACCCATACATAATAGGTGCCAACACACACACATATATATACATACACAAACATACATAAATATATATACACACATACATACATATCTACAAATAAACATATATATAAATATATCTATCTACAATAACAACTACCAATATATACATGCATACATAAAAATACAACAACACTCAACCAAATACATATATAAACGTACTCACATATAGATACATAAATATACCTTCAAATACCAACACACAGCAATATACATATAGTCTAACATACAAATATACAAACACATTCATACAAACAGAAATATACTTAAATATAAATACACATACACAATAAAATAGGACATACAGATATATACATGTATGCACACACTGATATATATATACACACATACATACACACACACACACACACATACATATATATATATATACAAATATATCGTGGCACAAAGCCGAAATTAGGGGGCACCCAGTGAGGAACGAACTCATTACTCAGTCGCAACTAATCTAGCGAACCATGCTGGCCAACCATTATACCGCCGTGATTTTATCATACATATACATATACATATCCATACATATACACATACACATACATACATACATACATACACACACATACATACATACATACATACACACACATACATATATACATGCATATATATATATATATATATATACAACCACACACACACACATATATATACATATATATACATACATACACATATCTACATATATACATACATACATACATATACACACATACATACACAAATACATACATATACACACACCCATACACACATACATATATAGGCACACACATACACATATACATCAACAATTATTAACCTTTTCACTTATAATCTACCATACCTTCCCACATAATATATATATATACACACACACTCACCTATATATACACATACACCCCCCCACACACACCCACACATATATAAAAAAAATATATATGTATATATGAAATGGACAAAGTCCGTCAATTATCTTAAGACATTTTTATGTTTATACATTCTTTTTTTATAGATACAAATATTTAAGTAAATGCTCTGTTTATAATAAACAGTATAAACAACATTTACCGGCCTTAATGTCCGAAAAAATTGTTATAAAAAATATGCGGCCTCCGAAAGGAATCGAACCTGTATCCTATACAGAACCGTCATATATAGCCTGACGTGCTTTTACCGATTTAGCCACAAAGGAGCGTTCGGTTAGCAAGGTTGATTTTACTGTTTTTTAAATTACAATCTTCCATGATTTTCTCACGTACATTCATATCTGCTCGATGCGTATCCACATGTAAATAAATGACATCACACATAAAAAAGAATGTATAAACATTAAAATGTCTTAGAATAATTGTCGGACTTTGTCCATTTCATAATGTGTGACGTCATTTCCCTACATTTGAATACGCATGGTTCGAGGTAATGCTTTCTCCATTATTGCGGCTGGCAGAGGATAGAAAAAATTGTTTATTGTTACGTTGTTCTGGAATTGTCATCAGTGGTCAACTGTAATTGTTTTGTTTCAAAAATACGTAAAATAACGATGACCAAACCAGTGCCGTGCTGACTCGGTCCTGTTG